TATGGTGACCCTAGGAATGAGAGATCTCCAAATCATGTTATCATCAATAGTCCAAAACATGGCTTTATTGATTGATACTATCCAGTATCCATGTTTCCGGAGGAGGGTGACTAAAATGATCAAGGGTCTGGAGAACATGCCCCTTGAAGGATAAAACTGCAATATGAAAGCAATGTATTATGATAGTGAAAAGGAGGATTTTTTTTAACAAAAACAAAAATGAGAAGGTATCATAATGCTTTTGCCTACATCAGTGGGTCATTGCAGAAAAACCTGGCTTCCAATATATATTTTTAAAAAATGGGATGGTGGGTACAGGTGATTGAGTAACATCCAAAAACTTTCAAATTCCATTAATACCAACAATCAAATTCAGACATTATGCAAATACAGCAACAAATCATATTTTGTGTTTAAATAATCTACTTTAAAAAAAAGTATTCAAAAACCTCCAAATTTCTACATGCGCTCTGCTGGTCCACTTAATGGGAGATACCAAGTGTTCAAAGAGGAATTGTTATTTTGTCCCCATGAATAAACACAGAAATTGGTAACTTTAACTACTATCTGCTAATTTAGTTCTAGAGGATTAAACTCAATCCTTGCAAAAATCATTAGAAAGAAAATATTTTTAGCAAATTTTCTGAATGATAATAATGTAAATTTGCCTAAGTAAGTAAAATAAGTAAGTTTTCAGCAGACCTCGCTACGTCTGAGGATACCTACCATAGATGTGGGCAAAACGTTAGGAGAGAATGCTTCTGGAACATGGCCATACAGCCTGGAAAACTCACAGCAACCCAGTGACTTTGGCCATGAAAGCTTTTGGCAACACAGAGGTCCAGGTGTTATGGGACAAAAGTAGTAACAAAGGGGATTTAATAGAATAAGCCAACAAGAGAGTTTGGACTTAGAATTGACACGATTGATTGTATCTCTTTCATCAGAGATAAAAGTCTATTGTACTAAATATGTGGTTGTAGGATTCACTGTAAAGAAGTATATAAAGACAATCACCTTTTAATTTGATTGTAAACAAATGTACACACTATCTCATGCATTGCTTGTAGTTCTTAATGTAATATAGCTGAGGATAGAAAGACAACAAATTGGTATAACTGAGCTTCAGTCTTGTAATGTAAAATGATATTTTTTGCCAGACAATTGGTCTTGCCATACAAAATAGGTATGTTTTAATAATAAATGATGACATTCTGAGTAAAGGAACAAAAACCAGCATGTATAATAGCTTTAATTTTTTGGTTTAGTATAGTCCTCCTAATAAACTTCTCTAGGGTTGCTTTTGTTCTGCAACAACACTAGGTAAAACAATTAAGCTGTGCAAAATCTAGAAAATAATACACCAATGGAAACAAATAATCTAAAAAAATCATAACTTTTGTAAAAGAAACAGATTATGTTAAGTAGGTATGCCTGATAATTATTTATTTTTCTCCCACAATGAAAATAAAACACTTCATGACAGTTTTTTCCATTAGTTTGGAATAAAAGAAACAGAACAGCTATGTATTTGATTTCAACAATTAAAATCCTTAGTATAAAGATACTTGGTGGGAGGAGGTGGGAGAAAAAAAAATTAAAAATGTAATGAGAACGAACTTGTAAAGAAGGTGAATAGATAATATAGAAATATTTTACCACAATGTAAGTTAACAAGAGGCATTTATTATCTGCTCAAATATTATGTTATCTTGTAGTAAATAAAAAAAAATATTGTAGCGGTACAATGAAAACAAATTGACCTTCCCAACTGTGTTCCTTTGTGTGGGATATTTTTAAAGCTTTGGGGAAAGCCAAAGTGCCCATATTACTGTCATTTGTGTAGCTGTGTTTCAGAAAAGAAATTGTGTTTATGCCCGAGAATAAAGTACATAACTGCTTAGAAAGATAGGAATGTGAACAGGTCTGGACATATGGGAAATGCAGCAGTTATTTCATTGATATCATCTGCAGCTTCTCAGTAGCTCTTCTGTGAAGGGTTACTAAGTGCCTTTGAATAAAGTGTGAATCTTTATCCATGCAGTTATGTATCCACATACATGATCATATACAGAACTATAATTTATTTATAGTATTTATCGTATCAGAAGCGAACTGAGGGTACAGTTGTACTGTATTTAAAACACACAAAGTTTAAAAAACTTGCCATTATACTAAAGTCCTTTGACCAGTAGCTAGCTACTTGGAGTGCCTCTGGTGTTGCTATAAGAAGGTCCTCCACTGTGCATGTGGTAGGCATTGTGGTAATTGCATTGTGGGAAGGGGTTCCCTAATACAGGGAAACCAGCTGATTCCTAATCCATCTAAAACACAGATGTGTGCTTTTCATCTTAAGAACAGACAAGCATCTCAAGCTCTGAGGATTACCTGGGAAGGAATCCCACTGGAGCACTGCAGCACATCAAAATATCTGAGAGTTGCCCTGGACAGTGTTCTCACTTACAAGAAGCATTACTTTGAATATCAAGCAAAAAGTGGGTGCTAGAAACAATATCATACAAAAGCTGACTGGCACAACCTAGGGATCACAACCAGATACAGTGAAGACATTGGCCCTTGCGCTTTGCTACTCTGCTGCTGTATATGAACGCCCTGTGTGGAAGACATCTCACCACACTAAAAGAGTGGGTATGGCTCTTAATGAGACATACCGCATTATCACAGGATGTCCATGCCCTACACCACTGGAAAAATTATACTGTTTATTATTTTTATTATTTATTATTTGCACTTGTTAACCGCCACTCTCAGCCCGAAGGCGACTCGTGGCGGTGTACAGAACATAGAACATAAAGACAACAGTTACAATAAATCAAGACCATAACACACATCTTACTAACACAACTAATTAAACTAAAAATCCGCTCGTCATGTTTGGGTCATAATCAGTCTCGTAGCCATAGTCCATTCCGGTGGTCATTCCAAAAATATAGTACTTAGTTGAAGGCCTTTTCAAAGAGCCAGGTTTTCAGGCCCTTGCGGAAGGCCATGAGGGAAGGCGCCTGTCTAATTTCAGCAGGGAGGGAGTTCCACAGCCGGGGGGCCACCACCGAGAAGGCCCGCTCTCTAGTCCCCGCCAGGCGTGCCTGTGAGGCAGGCGGGACCGAGAGAAGGGCCTCCCCGGATGATCTTAAGGTCCTCGTGGGCTCATAGGCCGAGATGCGGTACTCAAGGTATTTTGGGCCGGAACCGTTTAGGGCTTTGTAGGTTAACACCAGCACCTTAAATTGGGCCCGGTAGCTGATCGGCAGCCAGTGGAGCTGGGACAGCAGGGGCGTTGTATGCTCCCTACGTCCCGCTCCGGTTAACAACATGGCTGCCGCGCGCTGGACTAGCTGAAGCTTCCGGGCCGTCTTCAAGGGCAGCCCCACGTAGAGAGCGTTGCAGTAGTCGAGGCGGGATGTGACCAAAGCGTGTACCACCGTGGCCAAGTCAGACTTCCCAAGATACGGGCGCAGCTGGCGCACGAGCCGAAGCTGTGCAAATGCTCCCCTGGTCACCGCTGAAACCTGGGGATCCAGGCTCAGCGATGAATCCAGGGTCACACCCAAGCTGCGAACCTGCGCCTTCAAGGGGAGTGCGACCCCGTCCAGCACAGGCTGTAACCCTATACCCTGTTCGGCCTTGCGACTGACCAGGAGTACCTCTGTCTTGTCTGGATTTAATTTCAGTTTGTTCGCCCTCATCCAGACGGTATTGCCGGTATTGCACCACCTGACATCGCTGGGAAATAGCAGCCAATAATGAAAGGACCAAGGCAGTGACATCTCCACCCCATCCCCTGTTTGGATATCAGCCAGCACGCCAACTCCTTACATGAGGAAATAGCTTTCTAAGATCTCCAGAGATACTCGCAGGAACACCTCAGCAAGTGATAGTTCAAAAGTGGCAGGCTAAAACCCAGAACCTCAAGCCATGGCTGATACTGGGTGAGAGACACCCCTGGGCACATAGAAGACTGGGTGACTTGGAAAGGCACTAAATAAACTGTGCTCTGGCACCACGAGATGCAAAGCTAACCTTAAAAAAGGCTATAATAATGGTTAACTAATGTTCTTTATATATCTAATTCATAATGTTATAGAAGGAGATACATTCTTTTTCCCCTTTAGCTCTTCTCTCTTTTTGTGTGAACAATATTTTTGTTTTTTGGTGAAATATTCAGTATTTTGCAGGGTTTCTATACACAGTGCAAGATATTAAAGTCAGCAGTATATAATTAGTTTTCTAAGATGCATTTTGGTTGTACTCTTGCCCTGTTGCTCTTTAGTGCAATCTTTCTCAGTGGTTGCTCATGGGCTGTGACAGTTCCTCCCATGAGAGAATCAGTTGGCTCCCTCTCTGTCATCTTGCTACTGCCAAGCAGATACCTTATTTAGGCAGGCCATTGACTCTTAGCTCTTCCAGCCGATGGGCCTTTTAATGTTGCATGCTGTGCTTTCAAAATTTTAATCATGTTTTTAAAGTGTTTTAAAGGTTTTTTTTTTAACTTTTTGCTTTTAATGTAATTATTTTTAGAAACTTTTATGTAATAAATTTGTCACTAGACTTTGTTTCAATTTGTTGTAGGTAACTTTAGTGCTTATGTTGGGAAATAATTGAACATACATACAGTTCTTTGTTCTAAAGTGATAAAAATATAACTTTAGAAATGCTCATTGTTACAGGAATGTAGAGATAATCAGTATTGTATTTGTCAGACTAAGAGTAGGATGTCTACCAAGTTAATTGCTACTCATCCATGCACGAATAACAACTAGTTATCACCTTTAATCTGTTCATAGGATTGTGATAATGGTAAATGGCAGCATGGAGAGGGGGCAGTGGAAATGACCTTAAGTTCCTTGGAAAAGAGGCAAAAGATAAATGGAATAGCGATGCCCTAAATTAATTTGTACTTAAATTGTTTAGTTTCTCAATTTATAATTATCAAATAATTATCAACTTGCAATTTCTTTTTTTCTTTTTTTCCTCCACAGTTGTGACTCTGAAAACAGATACCTTGGTAATCCACTCAGGGGAACATGTTACTGTAAGTATTTCATTGTCTCCTGGCTTTGCCTATTGTGTATGTTAATTTTTCCCCTTAGGCTCCTTCAATCTCATTAACCATGAGATGTATCTCATTAGTAATTGCTGATCTATGACAATATGAAGAGTTGGAAATTACATAGCTGGTATTTTTAAAATATATATCTTTGACAAGTCACTGTGATTCACTAACACAACTACACAAAATGGTTTGCATCTTCTCCATCTCCCCAGTCCTATATTGTTCTGCACTATCCTTGGCCCAGCCACCCTAGGCAGTTTAGGCTCACTCAACTACCCTTAGCAACTCAATCCAAATCTATAGAATAGTGTTTGATTTTGGTTTTAATTGTACAATATGTTTTGTGTTAATAATTGTGTGTTTTGTTTTGAACATTCTGTATATTTCTTCTGTGTTATTGAATGTGTAGAAAGTGCCCTGAGTCCCCTAGGGGAGATAGAGCAGTATATAAATAAAGTATTATTATTATTATTATTATTATTATTATGACAATAAAATTTAATAAACTAATGTTTTAAGTTTCTTGGAAGAGAATTAGATATGCTTATGAAAAACAAAGTTCATATCTTATTTATTATTCCAATTACCCCATGGAGGCAATTCTTATTCCCAATGGAAACAAAATTTTGAATCAGAAATGATGGCTTGCTCAGTGCCTCCCATGAGGCCATAAGTGGCCTGGGATTTGCAAAAAAAACAAACAAACAAAAACAAAAACCAAACAAATAAACAAACTTCTAGATATTCTATTTATAAGTATGTGGTATTATATGATACAGGGTAAATGAAACTGAAAGACTGATAGCAATCCAGTTAACATAGTTAAAGACTGAATATTATTTAAATAGTAAGAAGGCATGAATTTAGAAAATGTGTAAGGAGGGCTTATTAAGCAGAATTAAATAAATTGGACCAATATGTATAATTCTAATAGCAAAACTTTAATGATTATATTTAAGATATTGTAGTTTGAATTAGAGTCACCTTTCATATTTTAAAGCCTGCAGTATGAATTAATCCATCATTTTTGGGTATTAATTTGTATTCCATGTTGCTGCTTCATTAATTAGATGCTTTGTTGTGTTAGTTAATTAATCCAAACAGCCAGATATGTTTAATGTGGGTGAGATACACTGTGAAATTCATGTGTGGGGATCATTAATTTAATAAGAGAGCACTGTGTTTTAAAATGTTTATGGTCCATAGGCTAATTAGATTATTTGCTTCTATTGCAACATTGACATTCAAGTTCACAAATAATTTCCTGGCCTGAGATATTCATGACTAGCATAGCATTTCGGCATTTGATTATTATTATTAAAAAACATTGCAATGAGATATCAGAATACAATACTTAGAGATAGTTGCATCTGAGGAAGAAGATCTGAAGAAGAAGGTCTATACTGGTCTAAATCTGGAGCCAGTCTGAAGTAGAAATGCTCTGGACTGACTGTGAAGGTGTCTGCACATCACTTACTGAACTCTCTGCAGTAGCAGGTTGGAATCCACACACTCCAGCCCCATCATCTCACCTCCCAATCCACACCCTTCTTCCTGGTTGCCTGGATGCCTCTGGTAATGTCGGAATAAGGTGCTTGCAATGGCCAGGATCTTGCAAAGGGCTCTGTGACAGGCTGTGAGCACCAGTGGTGGCTCGGGCTCCATCCATCCACTTTTTTTGAGCACAGGCAAATGTGATATTAGTGATGTCCTGTAGAGAAAGTGGACCAATCTGAATTGGGTCTGATCCAATTGTCCACTGTACCCCAAAGCTGTGGCATATTCCAGCATTTCCTGAAGTTGGGCAACGGTCAATTAACTTTACATAATCCTCAATACTCACCAGAAGTGCAGGAACATTGTGAAGATGACCCGTAGTCAACTCAGGGTAAGTCCATGCCCATGTAAATTTGTCCCTGGTCTAAAAAAGGTTATGCTACCATTTTTTCTCTCAGATAGGATCTAAGGTACTATAAGATTCCTTTGCATAGTCATGATTATTATGAGAGGACATATTTATCTTATTTTTCCTGGAAATCTAGTAATAATGGTAAAAGTTACAACCTCATCATACTTAACTCCGGAAGCATCCTACGATGCTTCCTCTCCCCTCATCTAACTGGAGTGGAAACATTATTTGACCCTTCACCCTCAACACTGAAGTCCCGCATGTTGTTCTGGCTTCAGTGGAGCCAGCACACTTCTCTGCTGCCCAGGTAATGCTCCCCTCCATGTGCTCATTACAAGGGATGACATGAGGGGCAACAGATTGGCCCCAACTGCTCCTAAATTTCCGCTGCTTCCTGCTTCGCCTGGCTAATATGTTGAGCTTGTTAGTCCTGTATTTGTAAAAATCAAAGGATACACTACCATTAATTGTAATGATAGTACTAACTTCTGGAAGAAGAAGAAGAACTTTATTTTTCTACCCCGCCTCCATCTCCCTGAAGGGACTCGGGGCGGCTTATGTGGGGCCAAGTCCAGGCAACATACAATTAAAAGCAAAGCAATAATAAAATACAATTTAAAAAACAAAACAACATAACAATAATAGACAAGTGTCAAGCAACAAAAACTAATTTAAAAAGGAGGTGAAGGCCAATATACAGGCTGATTAAAGAATAATTGGTTCAATAAGGTGAATAAAATGCATGATAGCATAGGAAATATCATGAAAACAGAGCAATTTAACAAAAACATAATCAATTCAGTTTGACTTACAAAATCTGAGTAGTAACGATTATAGGAATTTAGATTGAATAATAATTAGGTCGCAATACAAGTCATATGTCATAGGAGTTGTCAGTTGAAAACATGATGAAACATCCACGTCTTTAATTTCTTATGGAATGTGGATAGGGAGGGTGCCAGCCTGATCTCCCTGGGGAGGGAGTTCCAGAGACAAGGGGCCACCACCAAGAATGCCCTTTCCCTCATCCCCATCAATCACGCCTGAGACGGGGGGAGGAGTGAGAGAAGAGCATCCCTGGAAGATCTTAAGGATCACGTGGGCACATAGGGGAGGAGGCAGTCATGCAGATAGGCAGGTCCTGAACCGTTTAGAGCTTTATAGGTAACAGCCTGCACCTTGAATTGGGACCAGAAACTTATCGGCAGCCAGTGGAGCTGTTTAAATGGGGATTGACCACTCCCTGTAACTTGCTCCAGTTAACAATCTGGCCGGTGACCTTTGCACCAGCTGTAGTTTCCGATCCATCTTCAAGGGCAGCCCCACATAAAGTGCATTACAGTAGTCCAATCTTGAGGTTACTAAAGTGTGGACCACCATGGTCAAATCAGACTTCTCGAGGTACGGTCGCAGCTGGCGCACAAGTTTCAAATGTGCAAAGGCCCTCCCAGCCACCGCCGACACCTGAGCATCAAGCGTCAGCGCTGAGTACAGGAGGACCCCCAAAATGCGGAAGCATAACCATCAGACACTCAAGTTTCAGGATGCAAGAAATAAGAACTATCTGAAGTAGGCTTGGCTATATTTTGATATAGTCACTGGATCTTTTCTCTTATCTGATGACTATGGTTGCAGAGTTTAAATGACCGGTGCGTGAATTGCAAGAATAATGGTGCAAGCTCAGTAATACCCATCAACAACCTGATTTTTCCGGCCATGAAAGCCTTCGACAATACATTGAACATCTCTACGGGGAGAAACTGTTCCAAGACACACGGAAATTGGAGAAACTAAGGACCAGGAAAGCACATCTACTGTGCTCCCTGACTTTCCTTCTACGCTGCAGAGACACAGATACCATCCCACAATTCCTTGCAGCCAAAAGGACTTTCAAAACACCACAGGCTCACCGGATCTATGACCGCCTGGAACGCAACCTCTTAAGAAAGAGAATCCACACCATCCGCAAAGAACTCGCAAACACAGACAAGGAACTGCTGCATCTCCATATCAATATCAGCCAGAAGATGAATTCCCAGGACTGGGACAAAATAGACAATCTCACTTACAGGAAAATGGAGAAAAACATGGTTGTCCACACCAACAGACAAAAACAAAAATTCCACAAACGACAAAAGCAACAGCCGAAACCAGAACTGGATACATCACGGACCATCATCAACCTGACAGACAGACAACTCTCTGAAGACCAAGTATCCATACTAGCAAAAGGAGGAAACTTTGCTGTAACCGCCACCAGGATCCCAGTAGAAAACATCATTGCCAATGTCGAATCAGCAATTTACCGCCTCCCAGAGGAGGAAGCAGAAGAAGTACGAGCGGAAGCAGCAAGGATCCTGAAAAAGGCAAAACTCCCCTCCAGTAACATTACTAGGAAGGAAAGAGAAGCCATTAGAGACCTAAATTCAGATCCTGATATCCTCATTCTGCCAGCAGACAAGGGGAATGCCACAGTCATCATGCATACAGAGCAATACAAGGAGAAGATCAGAAAACTCCTGGACCCTACTATATACAGAAAACTTAAGCAAGACCCAACTTCCAAAATAACCAGAAAAACCAACACTCTAATTAAAAACTCCTCAATCAACTTCGACATACGACAGCAGCTATGTAAATCGGAAGCCCTTCCACCCAGGCTTTATGGACTCCCCAAAATCCATAAGGACTCCACCCCACTCAGACCAATCGTGAGTGCCATTGGGTCCCCCACATATGACTTAGCCAAATTTCTTGCTGCACAGTTACAAAGCCACATTGGGCTCACAACACACTACATCAAGGACTCAGCCCACTTCATTGAAAAAATCAGCAATCTCAAGCTAAATACAAATGACAAACTGATCAGCTTCGATGTGGTGTCTCTATTTACCATGGTCCCAGTTGCAGACACCATGGCACTCATCAACCAGAGGTTCCCAGAAGACATCACGGCGCTGTTTCACCATTGCCTCACCACCAGCTATTTTCAGTGGGACAATGAATTCTACGAACAGAAAGATGGAGTAGCTATGGGGAGCCCTCTCAGCCCAGTCATAGCTAACTTCTA